GTTATGTTATGTGTTTTCTTATACGACAAAATAAAAAAATACGTGTCTAATATTTTTTCATTACCTAACTGACGGACTATATACTAACTCGCTTAACTGTTGGTCAAGGAACTCGCTAGTTACGTAAGTCAGGCCCAAACATAATAATTCATTTAGTATATCTCACGAAAGGTTTAATATAATAAATGTTTAATTATTTCTCAGGTAAAATTCGGTAAAAGTACAAATCGTGCGACGTGCCCCGAAGAGACTAATTTCTACCTCCTACATTTATCGTTGTTAAGAGAATATTTAGAACAAGAGTTTATATCTATTAAGGACAAGCTGCCGTTTCAGTACGACTTGGAGAAAATTGTCGATGACTGGGTGCTAATGGGATTCTTAGTGGGCAATGACTTTATACCCAACTTGCCCAACATGCACATTAGTAACGATGCCTTGCCTGTCCTATATAGTACTTACATGAAAGTGCTGCCTACTTTAGACGGTGAGTAATTTAGTATTTCTTGTACATTGTCAGCCACCCATAAGGTGGATATATGACCTGATTGAGGTCGCAGGGAGCCGCTAGATGCATGTCGTTTCCAACGGCCTATCTGGAAGTTATTGGGGAAGGCCAGTTCAGGAGACGAAGTCATTTGGTTGATATTAACATGATTATGTACATTTACTTGAAATAACCTTTTTTCAAATTGCACACGCACATTATCATATTATCCATTAAAATTATGGAATTGAGATCGATTTTTGACACATCTTTCACAATTTCTATCAATTTATAATTAATGTTAGGTTTAAATTATGGCTGCTAATATAAAAGGTTTTAGGACTTTGGCAAGAAATTTTTGTTTCAATAAGGCAGATAGAACTAGTGTGAACCTCTCGTCCAATAGGAAATTTTGACAGCTACAGTGATTGGACAATAGCGAGCTATTCGCCGCATGCATGCATGCAAGCCGATACGGCAAATATAATACGTTCGGTCGGTGCCGTGAAGCCATACCACTTCTTCAGACCTCTTGCGCCGTACCTGAGCAAAGTAATAGTAGCTCCCATTCCGAAGTTATGTCAAGTATTTAGCTACCTCCAATGGTTTTAATTTAGATGTGCATTCTCAATCCTTCAATTCTCCAACTCCCCTATATCTTTGATACTTTTTCTATGTATTTATACATGTTGCAGGTTATATAAATGAGTCTGGAGATCTGAACTTGAGGAGGTTTGAAGTGTTCATGCAGGAACTTGCCAAGATCGACATGGAGAAGTTTCAGGACACATATGCAGATCTTAAGTTTTTTGAAGCCAAGACTGGCAGGAGGCCTAATGCTAATGAGAGGAAAGATGTATGTATTCGTTCTGTCATTATTATTTGCTATCAAAAATTTTAATCGATTTTGAACCTTAAACTTTCTACGATGTAGTTGAAAATCGGTAAAAAATGCTAAAGTTTGTCTACTTTTTCCTTTATTTTGCAGTACAAGCCAAATAATGACGAGACGTTCAATGTAAACGTTGAGGATATCAAAGCAAATAAACCAGATGACGAGCTTCAAGCATTGATCAATGCGACGGAGGACATGGTAAGTACTAACATGTTTTTATTATAAAAAGGTGACTATAGAACGTAAGGATTAGAAAAACCGCCGGATCACCTGATACCAAGTGATCAGCGCCGCCCAAGATCAATCGCACCACTAGAGGTAATACAAATGTGTTGCCAGCCTTCTATCTGACAAACATACATTCGCATTTATATTACTTAGTAAGGATCGCTTTACTTTTTACAGTTTATGGACGATATGGAAATAGAAAATGAAGATGAAGAGTACGAAGAGACTAGTGATGGTAAATGTTTAATTTTTTAAGTAAAACTAGCTTATGTTTAGATTTGATTGATGCAGGGAGGTCATATGGACCTGTTTTTATTAGCTTTTATTTATGTACACCGATCAAATTGCTCGAATTCAAATTCTATTATCATTCTTTTTTGCAGAGGAAGCTAATATGGCAATGGAATTCATATTACACAAAAAGGATTACTATATGAACAAATTAGACTATTCTAAAGTCACAGAGTAAGTTGGTCAATATCCTATTCTTAAATTTAAATAATACAACATAATAAAAGAACAAAAAATAGCTCAGACCTAAAATAATTTGAAACCATTCTAGCCTTTAGTAAAAATATTTCCTATCAAAATGCAGTTGATATTTTCGATCATAAATGATTTAGGACTCCGGCCAAGCTCGAAACTGGTCGGGCGTCCCTGTATATAAGTAGAACATTATCTGATATAGACCTATCTACAATAACCAATATTAGATAGGCTGTCAATGTATATATCAGCCTATAATTAAGTGCCCACTACTGAGCAAAAGCCTCTTCTCTCAGGAATGAGCATGAACTAAAAGAGTACGCTTGCTCCACGCGGATTGGACGATCAAGCTTATAATTAAAAAAAAATAGAATATAGCCAGGATTCCGATGTTTTCTGTGTCTAAATGATCTTAGAAAGTACATATGACTTGGATAATGTTAATGTGTATTACAACTAGTTTCTAATTACAGTGAAGTGCTAGCTGATCAAGCAGAAGGCTACGTACGAGCGATTCAATGGAATCTGTTCTACTATTACAAAGGGTGTCCGTCTTGGTGTTGGTACTACCCACATCATTACGCACCCTATATCTCAGATATTAAAGGATTCGCAGATCTAAAGATTGAGTTTGAACTTGGAGAACCTTTCAAACCTTTTGAGCAGGTATGTTGTAAAAGATATTAAAATAGAATTAGCTTAGTTATATGTTTTGATTTTGGCCCTAGCAAGATGGCGCTAGTGAGCGAGATGTTAAGTCCCCTTCATTCAATCACTAATAATTTGTAAATGTTAAGTACTTTAAGAATGTGTGAAATAGCTTTTGTAAAACACAATAAACGATATAAAATACCTATCAGATTTCTATTCACTAACTACGACTTTACTATAGGGTATCCTAAAACTTGACCAACTACTGAGACAAGAACAGTAGCATCTACCAGTAGCACCCTAATCTTCCGTGATCCAATCACGATCCCCAAGCAAACAGCCAATCAGGGGATAAACAACTCTATGTTCTCTTCAGTCAAGTCAAGTTAAAATCATTTATTTCAATTAGACCAGGAAGGCACTGTGAACTCAACAAAAATTTCAGTGTCGAACTTAAAAAGGCCCTTTCAATACTGATCATATTTTTTCCAGCTCTTAGCAGTATTACCAGCAGCGAGCAAACAGCTCCTACCAGCTCCGTTCCACGCGCTGATGACGGACGAGGACTCCCCCATAGTCCACTACTACCCCATCAACTTCGAAACCGATCTCAACGGGAAGAGAAACGACTGGGAAGCTGTCGTACTCATACCCTTTATCGATGAGGTAAGCAAAAATAACCTTTATAATAGATAAATATAAGGTTTGTTATTATCCTCTTTTCTGCCGGCATATGAGATACAATAGAAAAAACATTGTATCTCGCGTTTATCCGCGTTCCGGCATATCGTGGGTTAATCAGTCTTACTTATTCAATTCATCGGTGTGCTGATCGAAAATGGCCTTTAGGTGTAATGATAATAAGGTTTATTATTGAAAATTGAACGTGCTAGCAATGTAAAAGTTTAAATGTTCTAGGTAAATCTTCTTTCGGCCATGGAGCCCTGTTATCAAAGACTGACGGAAGAAGAGAAAAGTCGGAATGCACATGGACCTATGTTAGTGTATAATTGGACTCAAAAAAATCTAGGTAAGTTCATACGACAAAGGTCAATAGTTTTTAATCGACTTCAAAAAAAATGAGGTTTAATTCGATCCGTATGTATGTAATATTTTAAAACTGCCCAGTTTTCATATAATATATAATAGACTTAACATATTATGTTAAGTCTAGGTATATCAGCGTCTGAATAAATGTGCCAAATATTATAAACTAGCTACTTCCGCGCGGTTTCACACGCTCTGCTCATCTCCTCTTGGTCGTAGCGTGATGTTTTATAGCCTATAGCCATCCTCGATAAATACGCTATCCAACACAAAAAGAATTATTCGAATCAGACTTGTAGTTACGGAGATTAGTGCGTTCAAACAAACAAACAAAAAACCAAACTCTTCCGTAACAATAATAGTATAAGATATTGTTTCACTACGGTTTTCTGTGAGGCCGTATATCAATATTCATGTCCACCGAGTAATTATTGACTAATTTATTAACTATTTTTTAAAAACAGGCGTATTATTAGCGCCTCAACACTTCGATGCGATCGCTGAATGCCACGCTACAGAGACTCAAGTATGGAGACAAGAGTTAGAAGTCCCCGACAATATGTTGAAGAGAGGAATGCTACCTAATGCTAAGAGGGACATGCTGTTCCCTGGGTTCCCTACTATGAGGCATCTTAAGTATGAGGTAAGTGATTTACAAGGAAAAGTTGTTATAACCATCGTTGGAAATGTTAAAAAGATTTTTTTCTTTAATTGTATCCAAAAAATAATTACCGTTATAATAAAATATACAACATTAAATTAAATTTATGAGTGAACTCGGTTAGTTTGATGCGTGACGTTGCCTACCGCGCATACAACTTGTAGTTATGAGCCCCTGTTTAACTTGGAACCAGTCGAGCTTACTCGAACAGTATAATTTCATTGATTTTTATAACTTTCTTAATTAATTCACTAATATAATTCATAGTTCTGATTTCTCACTTTCGCTTCTGTTCACTTTACAGACAAGTATCAAAAAGGGTAAAGTAAAAGTATTTGATCAGCCGTCTCGCAATGAGAACATGATAGTAGAGATAATAAGAGAATCGGAGACCGAAGACCCAATCACTGAAGTAGCTAAAAAAATGCTAGGAAAGGTCATATGGGCCGGCTGGCCACATCTCACTAGGGCTAAGTAAGTATAAACCATTTAAATGTATCTTGTGATTTTTGATATTGGGAATAAAGTTTAGTTTTGCGTGATTGTGTTTATTGATCGTATAGGTTTTTTCAAATTAATTTGTTTTAGTAAAAAATGACGCAGATTCAAGAACAATATGTGTTCTCTCAAAATGGTTCTTATTGATATTATTACAATCCTTTATTGACACGCATATGCAAGCGCAATAAGTTCAAAAGTAAATAAATAAATAGCACCAAAGTTTGCGCATGTATGCGCAATAAAATTAGTAGCGTGTACAATTTTTGGTAAATAAAGTCAAGAAGAAAAGTTTTGAATTTCCCATTTGATATCCTCTTATCGTGAGACAAGAAAAGCTCTCTTAAAGTAAATAGAACTACAATTAATTCTATTTACTCTAAGAGTAGATTTGGACTCAATGACCAAGCAACAAAGTTGAAAATTGATTAAATACACGATGACGTCTGTACAATGGCCTGCAGGTCAACCTACTTAAATTTGTCAATTTCTTTTTTCATTGGATTATCTTTCACTGTTACACTTGTTTCACTTATTGGATTATCGACTTAATATCAAAGTAATAAAGTTAAAAATCTTAATAAAACTCTCACATAAATCAATACAATATCTTTGTACAGAGTAATATCAGTATCGAACGATAAGTTGAGACTCCACCACATCGACCAGCAGAACAACAACCCGGACGGCTCGCCCAACTACTCCACGGAGACCAACAGTGGGAACCTACATAAACAGTGGATCAGTGAACGATCCACTATTATTGAACAGTAAGTTTATACTTGCAATCACTTACGGTATGGAGTTTAGTCAAAAATAAATCTTGATCCACAGATTTTTGACTGAGTAGGTTATTGAAATCAACCGTTAATAAAATAAGTACCTTTTATTACGCATGGTCGCGTAGTGTTTCCATTAATAATAAAAGTATTTTGACGTACATTTATTACAGTATATATCTATAATAGTCTATCGAATACCTAGCGATTTTTATCAAGAGTCTCGGAAACGGCTTCAACGATTTTCTTGGCATTATGCACTCACTTAGAGGGATTTCGATCAACGATCCAGCTAAGTTTCATTGTCAGAAAATGTTTAAAAAAAATACTAAGCAGAGCTCAGTCATCTAGCTACTAATTATTTATGTTAGTTACGTGACATTTACACCCGAAGACTAAAAGCTACTTAAGTTTAATCGTGCCATCTCTGTCATTTTACAAAGAATTTGTAGTGACAGAACTATACTTAAGCGCGACTTCAAATTGGGTGGTATTTGGATATCAGAATAATAAGATGTATAAACACCCCTTTTAAATTATGTACGTTTTCTTACAGCAATATGAATCGACTCGGCATTGAATTGGGTGAAGTGACAACGATCATTCATGCGGTCAATTTGAAAGGTGAGTTTTACATAATATACATAACCACCACATAATCTTGAATCTCAGGGTCTGACCGACACATTAATTACATTTGAATTTGTCTTGCTCCAATGCCTACTTACAGAAATATGCACATTTCGTATAAAGTTTACTATAACTTTATATGCAATCCCCCTCACTCTACTTTCTCAACCTGAACTTGCTTGAACGCACTTGTAACTCGCGGACTAGACTGCACGGTTGGCGCGGTGGCTGGCCAACTGGCTGCCGCACAATATGTCGCGGGTTCGTGCCTCATAGAACAACTCTTTGTGTGATCCGCAGATTGTTGTTCTGGGTCTGGGTGTCATGTGTATGTGAAATTGTATGTTTTTAACGCACCCACAGGAGAAAATTCTAGTGTGGGACGACATTTGAAAAACAGATTTAACTGTAGGAGTTGGAGGTTACTGCTCTTTATAAAATCTAGTACAAGGTTTCAAATTCATAATATCGACGCAAGAATTTAATTATGTAAGAAAAAAGTCGTGGCTAATGTTTTAAATTATTCTAGCAGAGAGATATTAAAACAAAATTTAGGAAAAGTTCCTATTATATTAGCGTTATTTCTGACTGACTAAAATCAAAATGATAAAAAAAGGGTTTTAAATAAAATGTATTTCCAGGTTTCAAATACATGATCCAAGACAACGTGAAGATGGTAGAAGAACCGGAGTGGTGCACCATCCCTTGCGGGTACGCGTTGCAGGCTGTAGTGACGGACGTCACCGCGCATATATTGCAGGAGGGGGGACGCTTCAGTACGCTACAGGAGGCGTATCCGAACGGGGACTCCGTCTTCTTACTCACGCAAGGACAACATTATGGAGCTCATGCTACTGTGAGTATTATTGTCTTAGCAAAGTAAATTATCAGTTTGAAGGATTTGAAGTTACTTTTTTTACTAAGTTGCGCTAAATTTGTGGTTTTTCTTGCAAGTATATTTGATATTAATTAGAATAGTCAAACTTTTCTAGTTGCCCTTTGATTTTGCTTATTAGACACTAAAAACTGAAGTTGCACATCGATACGTAAACGTTTGCGTAAATTGCGCAAACTATTGAACTCGTTGCGCTTGCACATATGTGACAAAAACAACTTTTATTTCCTTGATCTTTTCAAACTCAAAGGCACTATCACTACTACAAATACTTCCGCAAAGTGCGCTTGTATTATAATGTATAATTAAAAGTATAATTACCAAATTATTCGGTGATAATTATCGACGTAAACCTGTTATTTAAGGTCGCATAATTCCTAACATGCAGTAACTGATAATTTACAACACATTACGACATGATGGTAACCTGTACCTTCGTATCCCTTAGGTAGTGGAATCGGAATCGATCCGCAACGGTCGTATAAAGGTGTTAGTAGTGGAGCGTCCGGAGCCCGTCCCGCGCGCCCAGTCGTGCAGCACGCCCTACCGCACCGCCAACCACGCCGCCGCCGCCTGTGGTAAATACCGCTGTATTACTCGCTTCTGCCAAACACTTCGCCCGCCCTTACATAGTATCAAAAGTAGCCTATGCTCCTTTTATTGTATTGTACCTGTTATTCCAGACCACAACCCCTGTTCCCAATTTCATTCCGATCGCTTTACTGCCAATTTCTATAACATGTCTCAATCCAAAATGTGTGGATTAAGATCGATTTTTGACAGAAACTCCATACAACTACTGCCAAAAATCGATCTATATCGACAGATTTTGGATTAAGATATGTTATAGAAATTGGCAGTTAGTTTTGACGTAGTTGTGTAACAAACATACATACACAAACTCATTCACATTTTTTTATTTAACTTTTCGAAACTAGTAGAGCTTTACTCAATATTATCACGTGAGTATCCCGCTATTTTTAGTTAAGAAACTATCCTACGAATACACTCTATGAAATCTTATTCCATGTTCGAAGGACTTTGAAATGTCTCACGATAGTCATAAAGGATAGTTTCTATTGTGATTATTATTGTGCAGGTGTATCAGCACAGACGTTATCCCGTATAACTGGCACGATACTGGTCGTCCCGGGAGAACGACACGACCGGCCTACTGAACAACTCAACAAACTCAACATCGGACTCAATTTGAAGTTTAATAAAAAGGTAAACAACATTAACGAATATTACTTAACCTGTGAACTGTCGGAATGCAAATCTACGCGAGACACAATGAGTTTTCTATTGTGTCTCATATATCGACAGACAATAGGTTAATTCACAGTAGAATGTATTAATTTTGTCTGAACTTTTTACTTTGAAAATATATGTCAAACAATTTTTTTGTGGAAACGACTCGAGGATGCCTGATTAGTTTTGAGCGACATCGCGGCTCATAAATATGAGCTACGTGTGCCGCGAGCGATGTTGCATAATAATACTTATAGTATACCGACTCTCGGTTTAACTCGAAAACAGTCGAGTATCTATGAAATTTAACA